CTGAAATGTATTTCCTAAATTTCTTCCCAGAGAGAGCCTCCTTTTTTTGTTGTTGTTGTTCGAATAGATGAAATCACTTTGTGTGACTAATGTGTTTTGAAAACAGCATTGGTTGCTATGGTAACCTGACTGCCTGTGATAAAAAGAGCATGTGTCCTTTCCCTGGGTTGCGGCATGACTTCCAGCAGAATTTCAATCCCTTCTCAGTGTACTGCAGGCATCACTGACAGACCGTTGGCCAGTGTTGGTTTTGTGTGTTCCTCTGCAGCGTTCTTCAGTAGGATGGCTGAGGACAGGCTGAGTCGCCTGGAGTCTCTTGCTAGAGCCCTGTAAGGTTAAGGGGGAGGTAGAAAAGATAGAGCCAACATCAGGCCAGAAACAATGGCAATGGTCTCACCAAGGCTTCACACAGCAGCTGGGATGGAGGTGAGAGGGAAAGCAGCCTGAAAAGAACATCTCCTGGGCAGACAGTTCAGAGTGTCGCCCACTGCAGAGCCCGGATGTGAAAATCAGCAGGCCTGGCCTCTCAGCCTGGCTCCAGTCCTGCCTCCCTCTGTGACCTTGGACAAGTTTCCTAATGTCTCTGAGCCTCATTTTCTTCCAAAATAATTTCCAAGCTTCCCTCTCTAGTCCTAATCATCGACGATGGTAGGCTCCTGAGTTAGACCAGGGCTTCTGAAAATATGACCCAAAGACTCATTGGAGAATGAAAATCTCCAGGTCCTGCCTCCAATTTTACAAATGAAAAGCTCTGCGTCTGAGGCACCTCAATCTGCACGTCTCCCAAGTGCTCCAGGCAATTACTGTGCACAGTAAATGAAAGAACGCCTATAATAGAGTGCACCCGTGAAAGTAACAATTTCCAAGAAAAGGCTGAATGTCAGACTTCTTGCCATATAGATCAGAGCAGGTTGAATTCTTCTAAGAAAAAAAATTTAGAAGATTAATAGCTTCCGCCCTTTGCAGGAACCATTAGCCCTATACAAACATTTTGCAAGTTTGTACTTCGGAGGGTGGGCCAGGATTCAGGGTGCCTCCAAAACTCCAACTGGCTCCCTCTGATGTGCAGGTAGCATGTCTAACGTGGGAGGTGGGTGGAAGGGCTGTGGCATCTCCAGACTTCCTGATGGCAGGTCCTACCATGGACAATCAGGGAGCCCTGGGGCGTCTCCCCAATTGGCCAAGATGTTGCAAGGGAAGGTTCTTATACCAAGTGTGCCAAAAGCTACAAAGATGAATGGAAAAGGCCCTAGTATGACAAAAGTTAATAAGATAATTGAATAGGAAAAACAGCCATCCCCTTTCTATCCTTATAAGAACCACAGGTGACCAGGAAAGGCGGGGGGGAGTAGGAGGATGGTCTTTGTGATGGGTGTCCACCATTCTCCCTGGTCAAGGCATCTGAATAAATCTCTTTTATATAAAATATAACAAAGCCATTAAGACACCTGAGTCATGGCTCTAACCAGGTGCCAAAAAGAAGTGAAGCAATAGAAATAACTTTCCATGGAAAGTCATATTTTCTGCTTTGCTTTGAGACCTCCCAAAAGAATAACTTAAATTTGTAAATTCTCCAACTTCTTAACTGGCTTTCCTGCAACTAACAGCACAGTGACAGCAACATTTTGCAAGTTCAATTCCAAGTAAATTAAGTGTGTGGCAACTGTGGAGATGGAAGAAGGTTCAGACTTGATATAAAAATGTAGTCAGTTTTAGTAATAACCCCACAGTTCAAAAGAGACAGAGAGAGTAAAAATGAGCATTTTTGCCTTCACACACACACACACACACACACACACACACACACACACAAGATTGGAAGAAACTGGATTCTGGATTGAGATAAAAGTAGAAAGTGGGGACAGGGCAGCCAGCTGGAGGTCACATTCCAGAGTCTTAAATGTTTAAGCCATGAGATAGATTGACCTGCACTTAGTTCTGCTGGTCAAAGGGAAAAGATATTAGGCTGAAGCCACCTAAGAAAACACAGCCATGTTCTGAAACAAAGGGAAAAAAAGACAGTTGTTCTTCCTATAATCTCCGATATCCCAAAGTCTCCAGGAAATTTATTTGAGCATCTATTGTGTGCCTAAACCTGTAATGATTCCTATTTTGGAGAAGTTTCCCCTGAAGCTAGGGAGAAAAGACATGCACATTTGAAATTAGAGATGAAACCAAATATAGTTGCAATACAGAAGGGGAGAAATCCACGTGGGCTTGAAATACCAGCAAATATGATGAGGAAGCAGCATCTGAGATGAGCCCGAGTAGGTGTAAAAATGAGGGGTAAAGATATTTAGGGGTAAAATATGTGGAAACAAGAAGTAGCAGAAATGAGAGTGCCATGTTGGAAGATAAAGGAAGATGAGCAGAGGTATATGCTGGGAACTGGTAGGAGTTGGGGCTGACCCAGGTAACTCTATCCTGCTTTCCTTGTCATCCACATTCCTACCTGGGACCAGCAGTTCAGTGAGAAAGGTTATAGTGCCCAGACTCCCCCTCCATCGTAGACCAAACCCCAGGTAGATGAGCAGAATCTTTGGGTCTTTGCAGGACCCTGATTGCAGAGATGGAGATAGTGATGAAGGTTGGAATGCCATGAAACAGTTGGTCCTCTGATTTGGGGGGCAATGAATCTCTGAGTATTGCAGGCAAAAAAACCTGTAATCTACCCTTTTAAACAAACTGGGAATTAGAAGGGGCTTTCATCTAGTGACCAGATGCCCTCACCCCATATTTTCTTTCTCCTCTTTCAGTGGAATCTCAGGACATACTCTTTCTTGCCCATTTCTTCTGCCATAGGGAAAATTTTTGAGCTAAAGAGTACTTTACTTTTTTGAGACTGAGTGAAGAGGATAATGCTTAACTCAATGAATAGCTAATAGTAGAATTTCAAGTAATATTATAGGAGATACTAAGCTTAAATAAATAGTCCATCATCTAATGGTGTCTGAAAGATACCTGAGCGGCCCTCTCTGTCATTTAGATTGGCCATCAACTATGAAAAAGAATGATCTTTCTAAAGACATTTGGAGGAATAGAAATGATATTAGGGCTCCAAAATTGAGTGTTTCTTTATGGCTTCCAACCAAAAGCCAAGAAAGCAAGAGTTAACCTCAACAGAGTAGGAGCTCATTCAAGGTAACTGCTATTACCATATGTTGAAAGACCTATTCATTTTTATTTAACAATCTTTATGGAATGTATGGAATATCCACTATGGGCTGACTCATTTGTTTGTTAGCACTTATTGGAGAGAGAAAGAGTAACGAGATGCCTAAGCAGTGATTCTCAAATTCCTGGCTCCATTGCTCAAGTTTCTGATTCAGTACATCTGAAGTTAAGCACTTGAATCATCATTTTCAGCAAGTTCATTCAGTTACTGGTGGTCCCTGGCCACACTGAGAAACATTTCACAAGACAAAAACAGGATGTGGAGGTCAAGAATGAGAAACCTTGTGTGGAAACCAAGCAGGCTGAGGCTACAATTGGTTAACCAAGAATCACAGAAGGCTCAGTGGGCCAGGCCCGCTAGCTGATAGTATCACAGGTATGTTTTCCCCACATTTGTGAAATAGTTCATTGGGAAGCTTCAAGGAAAAGTTCTGTTTGTCATGGAAGCAGATCAAAGTGGCTGCAAGGGGCATGGTTCACAACCCTGGAGTTGCCATGACAATTGTAATGGGTGGCCCAGTAGAGTTGATAAAGCTGTGGGTAAGAAAGAAGAGGTGAAAACCCTGTGCTAAAGAGAGTGCAGTATGATTTATCAAGAACTGCTATACCTGTGGTAGCCCACTTAATATCTCAAATAGTTGTGAAGAAATCAAAAGCACAGAGGCTGAATTCTTCCAAGAATGGCTTACAGGTAATTGGCTGGTAGATAGCTAACTCATGAAGCATTTGCCCTTTGGGATTTTTTTTCATTTTGTTCCCAGTTTTTCTAATATTGGAGACCCCACCTACTGCTGAATGAATCAATCAAAAGCAAATTCAAACACAATACTCAAATTACAAGGAAAATAAGAACTCTGAAAAACGACCACCACAGATTTTATTTAATTAAAAATATTATACATGTTGTTGCATTTTCATGGAAAATATTGAGTTAAAAAACACCAACAGTGTTAGTTTTCAGAACCCTTAATGCACCCCGTTCTGCTACCTGCTTCTTTGTTCTGTCCATGGCATTAACCGTGTGTATAACTGGAGCTCCCTTGAAGCTCACACCCATAGGACTCCCAGAATGAGCCATTTCTCAACAGTGGTGTTCTATCAAGTTAACTCTGGTTTCCTTGAAAACCATTAAAAGGAGCTGGCATAAAAACCCAAAGCACATGTCAACACCAATTCAGCCCAACATGTCCGCAAGAATCTGCTATGACCGTATCCAGTTTCCAGGCTAGTTAGAAGGTGATCTTATATTCTATCTGGTGTATTAGTGTCCTGAGCCCCTTCACCCAGCTTCCCCTGAACTCACGGTGGGAAGACACTGCCATATAGTGTTTATATTCAAACTATCAGCAAGTACACAAAAGCACGTGTGGCCCCCATGCACATTACTATCATATAAAAAATACATATTGGTACAATACAACCCTTGGAATCACCGGCTCAAATATAGCCATGTGAGCATTCTTAAACTATTCATTTAATTATACACTTGCTAGGAAAAATACCACAGCATAAAAACTTAACTTGAAAACATCATTTCAGCTAGAAACGTCTCACATGGAAAGCCTTTGCTTTCCCAGGACTGTACCATCCCTTAACTTACTTCCTTGATTCGACATCATAATGCTGCATCCGCATATTGCTCCCAAGTGATGCTTTTACTAAAATTGGATCTGATGTGACAGAAACATCCTGGCTCTGTTTTTCTGCTCCTTTGCTTTAAATTGTAGTATACCTAATTGGGTTCTGCATCCAGCTTTACATTAAAGAGAGATGAAATCCCCCCAAAGTACACAAATCAATGAAAATAACTGGATAGCAAAAAGGTGGAATTGCCTCAGCTCCTAGAAATCAGAAAATGGTCTTCCTTCTTCGTAATGGTCTCTCAATTGATGGGAATAAAATACGGCTGAAATTGCTTTTCACATTCTGGCTCGGTGGGGGGCATTTTCACATAGACCCCTGTAGTAAGAGGACTTCTTTTCTTTAGCTGCCAAACACAAGAAGAAACAGTAGTTATTCTTGAGGAATACAGAAGTCACTTCTAACCATGGTAGGACTCCACAACTATCGGGTCCCTCCCCTGTTGGAAAATGAATGTTCACAGCATACTGAATTATAAGCCGCAGGAGATCTTCTTGATTGAGCCATTAAAATTCAGTTTAGATAAATAACTCTGTGCTATGAATGCAAAATAGCAATTATTTTTCCCTGACTGAAAGATAGAAGAAAAAGATTTTGAGAAAGCTTCAGAAAAAAACACCCCAAATGTGTATGGTAAGTGACTGGATGTTGTCTGTGGGGGAACGAGTTTGATAAGATAATGAACTTTAGTTATTCTGTTTGAGAGCCGTATTTCTCATTTCTAGTCCTCATCTACTTTTTATTACTTTCTTTCTGTCCGCATCAGTTCCCAGTTTTTATCATCTAGTGAATTAAGCTCCAGGTCCAGCATACTATTCTGTGAGGTGATTTGTAGCAAAAGAGGTAGGAAGAAACTACAGCAACAGAAGAGATTGAGAGAGGATTTTAAGAGAAAGAGAAAGGGGAGGGGAAGGAAGGGGAAGCAGGGAGACAGGAAGGCAGGGAGAGAAAGAGAATGGTGGAGGGAGAGAGAGAGAGGGAGTAGGGAGGAAAGAAAGGGAGAAGTGTGTGACAAAGCCAGCCTTAGGCAGAGGTGGCTGAAAATGACTGTCAGAAAAAAATCCTGATAGGGGGTCAGATTCCATACCTTCTTCTCTTCTACCAACAAATTGTAGTAAATAAAAAATGGGGTTCACTTTTGCTGGGCTAGAAGGGAGGTCAAGACTTCCCAAAGTTTCCCAGTTAAGCTGACTGGGAAACAGAGCGCCCTAGAGAGGTGTTATGTGGACAGCTACAGTGTGGACCAAGAAGGCACAGTTGGGTTCACAGAGAGATGGCTTCCTGGTGAGGTAGAGGGACGTTAAGGGAGAGAGTGAAATTCATCCAGATGGATGGCCTTCTTTAGCAGCATTTTGCTCAACTTAATCTTGTGTTTCAGGGTTATTCACCAAAGCACATTGTCATGAAGATAAAGAGCAAAACAACTGCCCCATGTTGTTCAAAAGGTTACTCAAACTGAAACCTTCTTCAGAAGCACACAAACATTCGATGTCAAATGCACTCATCTAAAATATTAGTCATCCTGAAACCTCAAAGGCCAATGCCTTGGGTTCTAGTGTGCTCTTTACCACTGTCCTTCGCCTTCCTCACCTATTGCTTCATCTCAAGAAAACGAAAAGCATCATCTGGTCAGTTGCTATCACTAAAGGTATCCCCAGCCAAATTGGTGCGTTGTCAGCATCACACTCACCATTTTGCTCAAAGAAACAGCTGTGATGAGGAAACTGTAAAAAAATAACCCCGAACTAACTGCTGCAAGGATCCAGAGGAGGAAATCGGAATCCGGGCATGGTTCTGGATCTGCAACAGAAAAGCAGAGCCTCCCTGAGCCACTCTTTAAACAGTAGGGCCTTACTTCCATTGATAAAAAACTGAAGAAATTTGAGCTTCCAGACCTTAATAATATTGCTACCCATAGATTAAATCCAACTACTCGGGGCTACTGCCCCAGGAGTGGCATATCAAAGGCATAAGAGTAAACTGAATGATAGTTATCATTCCAGAGTGAGTGCCCCAACATGCCAATGGAAAGAAGACCTTCTCCAACCCATTTTATTTTATAGTCAGAATGCTGTTTGGGTTGCCACACATACTATCAAAAAGGCTACCAGGTAGTATGCCAGAGAACTCTTAAAGAGAATTTTCACAATCCTATACATGAACCAGCTGACATTAAGGAGCGTATCTATTTTCATGCAAAGAAGACAGCAGTGCAAAAGGTGTTAGGGTAGTGATATGGCTTTGCTCACCAATGACATAAATCTGGGTTCCATTGCCCATGCCCACATAGTAGGGAGGTGGGTACATGAGCTCCACCTTGCAGATGTAGAGGCCCGTGTCCATGGCCGTCAGCCCTTGGATGGTGAGGTTCACTTTGTTTCCACTGGAAGAGCCAATGCAGGTGGAATCATCTAGGAAGGTCAACTCCTTCTCCACCATGTACGTTGTGGCGCAGACTTCAGTCATCTGGCTGCCCACCTTCCGCAGCACTGTCACCCGGACCTCCTCAGCTTTGCCGGAAGATCCATAATCACACACAAAGCTGGCTACACCCCGGCTGCTGGCCAGCACCACTGCAGGCTGGGTCACGTGCATCCCTAACATGGAAGACCCAAAGGAACTCTGTGAACCCGTGTTCACCCACCACCAGGCCCAGGTAAAAGCCAGAGAAGATTTATCTTTGATAGGCACCCTCCCATTAGCTTTCAGTTATCCTCTTCTCCTTAAACCAGCCCATCACCACCCGCTATCCCTTCCCTTTTCCAACTCCCCCCTGCCCTGCCACCTTTCCCTCTATCTCTCAGCTATCTTCCAGCTACTCTCCACAAAGGTATTTCTAATTGCCCCTGGCTGGTTTGGCTCAGTGAATAGAGGACTGAGGATTGACAGGATACCTATGTTGGCCCAGGGACTGAAGGGTCCCATTCCGGTCAAGGGCACATACCTGGGTTGCAAGCTCGATCCCCAATGTGGGGCATGTAAGAGGCAGCCAGTCAATGATTCTCTCTCATCATTGATGTTTTTATCTCTCTCTCCCTTTCCCTTCCTCTCTGAAATCAATAAAAATAAGTATTTTTTAAAAGGTGTTTCTTATTGGAAAATAGTTTTTTAAGGCAGTTGGTTGTGCCAGAAAGAACACTGATGTGACAAACAGAAGACCTGGCTCTTCCATGAAATATATGATTTGTTATGCCTCCCTATGGACTTCACTTTCCCTCACATGTAGGAAAAGGGGAATGGTTAGATAGTATCAGAGTGCCTTCCAACTCTGGTATTCTAAGATTATAATGCAACTAGAGGAAATATAGTTCAGAGTACTAGAGAAAATTTTGGAGGCTGAGGTACAGAATATTGCCTTATATCTTTAAGCATCCCTCAAAAACTTTTGCCTACATTTCCCTGACCCTATACCTCTATTACCCATGAGTAGCTGCAAGTTGGTTCACTGAATCGGACACCCCCTTCCCTGACATTATTATCATAGAATGAGGGAAGCTTGTAGATGAAGAAAGCCACAGAGCAAGAGGGCACCGGGTCGTTTCCTCTCCAGGCTGAGGCATCCCTGCTGTTAACTTCTGTGGGCTTTCCCTGCCACTGCCACCGCATCTTCCGCCTCCCTCTCTCCTCACTTGAGCGTCCTCACAGGGTGCTCTGCTCTTTTTCTCTCTGGTTTCTACAGGATAAGCAAGGCCAGCTCTCCAGGCAATCATACAATGACATCCAAAACTTGGATTGAACCATCATGTCACTCATTCTATTCAAACTTTTTAAAAAGATTTTTTTATTGTTTTGTTTTGAAAGAGAGAGAGGAAGGGAGAGGGAGAGAGAGAAAAACATTGATCAGCTGCCTCCTGCACACCTCTTACTGGGGATCTCTCAATCCGGGCATGTGCCCTGACTGGGAATTGAACCAGCAACCTGTCAGTGCACGCATGGACAATTCCCAACTAACTGAGCCGCACTGGCCAGTGTTCTGTCCAAACTTTTTGATGCTTGCACACCACTTACTGCAAAAACAAATAATGTAAATAACCTTCATGATCTAATCCCAAACTATCATTACAGTCTGAGATTCCAGGACACCTCTTCCTGTGTATACATTACTCTATATTGAAGGTGCTCGTCTTTTTCCCCAGGAACTTGTACTGGACAACATCCGTCCTCAGAAGAGACAGCAATATAGCAGCAGCCGCCATTGCCATAGTTAATCCAGCAGCCTTGATTAGACAATAGTCTTCTTCCTCAGCCCTCATCTTTGTCTGTCAGAGATGCCCTCTGAACACCCTCTGCAGGGCTATAACTTGATTACAGAAATTAAGTTCTGCCCTGCATTAAACTTTTTTTGTGCACTAATAACACCTCCTCCAGCTTATGTCTTGAGAGCAGCCATTACATCCTGCCCAAATGGACACTCAATAATCATTATTGAGTTGACTCTAAGCCTAAAGAAGACCACCCCAGGCAAGCTCCCAATGATCACTACTAAGTCTGGTCACATTCAATCTCCCAGTGTCCACCATGGGAAGATTTCAGTTACAGTTTGAGATAAATGCCCTAAAAAGGAAATTTGAATATTTCTAAGGGTATTTAATCTTTAATGTGAAATAATAAAAGGCATCTGAGTATTTCTAATTCAGTAAAAATTAAATCGTTAAACATCTTTGACTACACTGTATACAAACTCATAGTTTCTTCGCAAGAAGGTCTAGCGAGAGATAAGATGGAAATTCAGTGGGAATGCTCATCATTCTACACCAGGTAACAAACCTGGTTTCAGCCTCTAATGAGCTTTATTTCATCTGAAAACTGGAGAATCTGCTTCGGAAGTCCACAGGTAGCTCAGGTAGTTCTTAAGTGTCTTATGCAGGACTGATGGCTTGCTTCCTTTCTCTGTTTTACAATTTCAAGCTGCTTTCATTCTTAAATTAGCTAAATAGTTTACAGAGTTGATTCAGAGGACCTTAAAATCCTGAATAAGAGTAAAGAAGGCTTACATTTTAAACAAGCTGGCTAATTGGTTTATAAGATTGAATTTGAGGACCTTAAGACCTTGAGTCGGGCAGGGAAGAAACTTTCCATGATTTGCTCCAATTAGTGGTGTGTGTGTGTGTGTGTGTGTGTGTGTGTGTGTGTGTGCGTGTGTGTGTGTGTGTGTGTTTTAAGAAAAATCCTGAGCTTGTCCTGATTCCAAGCTCAGATGTGTCCAGGACTGCGGATATCTTTTCTCTCTTAAGTCGCTTCATTCACTTTACAGTATTTGCCTGCAGTCTTACCGAAGTGCCTGAAAACCCAACTCAGAGGTACTTCCTCACCCTCTCCTCGGTGCCTGGCTCTGCGACCCGCTGCGCCCTCCCCAGCTTGGAGGCTCTGTGGTACCTGTGGCTTCTGGCTTTGCTAGAAATCACTGCCCTCGACTGCTGAGAGAAATGAAACCCGGTGGGAGAAACACCTCCTCCACCTTTGTGCTCACTCACCTTTGGAGAAGACAGGGATGAAAAGCAGAGAAAAGAGCGCGGTGCAGGGCCAGGTCCTGCGAGGCAGGTCGCCGGGAGCCCCGCGCCTCTGGAACCCCAAGCCGGCCATGGCGCTGCGGGAGCGGAGCTCGGGCTTCAGGAAGCTGAGCGAAACCTGTCGAGATCCCGAAGCTTTGAAATGTGTTTGAACCCACACAGAATCACGGACTTTATATAGCGGGCTTGTATTGAGGTAGAAGTCTTCACCATTCAGTACAAGTAGAGGGCATCTGAATAAAAGACGGCTTTTTGTTTTGGTTTTACGAGAAAGGAAGCCGTGGGTTTAGCTGTTACGTCGAAACATAACCTCAAACACTCAAAGTAAAACTGAACAAAACAAGCCAATCGATGGATGGAAAAAAATGCACTCACTTTGAAACTGAAGCTTTTTCTTCGCTTTGAGGATAACTCAGTGGAGACTTGGAAAATTTCCTGGAGTGCAGGCGTCCCCCTGGATCCCAATGGTATCCAATTGTCTAGGCACCTGTTAGCATCCAGCACATTTCAGTGATACCCCGAAATTGCCATGCTGCCCGCCCTTAAGCTAAGGGCAGAGTTAGTCTGGAGACATCATCAAGAAAAGCTCTGCATCCTACCTGGGAGGCACCATTTCTCCAAGCTCCATTTAGCATTTCTTTGAGAGAAAATACCAAAATCACAAAAAAATAAAAAATAAACTGCTCTGCCTCTGGTTTTACAGATTAGGAAAGAACTCAGGTGCCCTGGAAAGCCTTCACTCAACAAAGAGGAACCAGAGTTGGAGAAGGTCCAGAAAAAGTCCCAGAGATTCAAACCTTCCATAAGAGGACAGACGTTGTTTTTTTTAATGGGATGTTTTTTAAGCAGAAAATCCAAGAACCAAGGTTAAATATGACTGGAGTTCTTCAACTTATTAGACAGGACACATGTTCATCTTCTAAGAGAATAAATACTGAGCCCTGAGGACCTTCCTTAAAACTGGGGCATTGTCACAGATGTCAATGATGAAAGAAATAGTTATTGCACATCCATGATATTCCAGAAAGTGTGTACACCGAGGATTGAATAATGACAAGATAAAAACAGAGTCAGTGCTTTAAGAGACTGGTAGAAGGCTGGCAGGCAAACAGACAGTGACAACGTGGAATGTGGTGTTGCCGGCCCCAGCCCTTCACATTCCCCACTGTGCACACACCTCCGCACAGCAGAGGGGGCTCTAGAGTACGTAGGCATCGAATGCCTCCTTTTTTACCCTGTCTCCCAGCATTCCCTCACATGTCTCCTTCCTCTGCTTGTCTCCAACACGCCTCATCACTGCCTTTTTTTCTCCCTTTATCTTGTTTATCCTCCTTCCCATCCTCTAGGAGTTAGCTAAGGTGTCAGCTCCTCCCCTGACCTGGCTTTTTGCTGTCCTCCCCTAGCACCTTAAGCCCTCACATCCCAGCTGAAATGCCAGCAGGCAATAGCAACCTAATGGGCATGTGCTAAGGGCTGGATCCCAGACTGGACACTGGAGATACAAAAGTGAAAAATGTATGCTCCTGCCCTTGAGAGTAACTCGCCGCAGCGACAGGGGCAGACAGCTAACCCCTCGGTCGGGAGAGAGTGGATCAATGCTGGATTTGAGGTATGCACAAGCTGTAGAGGAGCCATCGGTTTGGCCTGTGGAAGCCAGAAAAGGCTTCTTGGAGAAAGTAAAGCCTGGGCTTATTACTGAGGACAAAGGCAAGGGGTGGGTGTTCAGACAAAAAGAACAGCATGTGCCAAGGCTGGAAAGAGCAGAAAGCATTCAGTAAGGCCAGAGGACAAGGCCAGTGCAGGGGTCAACCACAGACGGAAGCTGATGTTTTTAGGAGTGAGAGCCAATGCACCTTAAGGAGCAAACTGGCATGACTGAATTCACATTTTTGAGAAATTCCCCCTCACACAGGAAGAGGAATGGGGAGGATGGGTTCAGGGAGGTATAAGATATAACCAGGAAAACCAGGGAGGAGACTATTGCAATACCCCAGGAACTGGCAAACTTTTCCTGTAAAGGGCCAGACAGTAAATACATTAGGCTTTGCAGGCCCTATGATTGCTGTTCCCACTACTTAACTCTGCTTGTGTAGGGTGAAGGCAGCCACAGAAAATACGCAAATGAGTGAATACAGTTGTGTTCCAATAAAATATTATTTGCAATGTGAATTATACCTCAACTTACAAAACAAACACATAATTTACTAAAACAGGTAGAGGCTGGGTTTGGCCCATGGGCAATAGTTTACCAACTCCTGGTCTATACTAAGGCAATGATAGTGGTAGTGAAAGGTTCCTAAGGAGATGAATCCACAAGCAGTGAGTGGATGGAGAAGTTTAGGATGACACGAGACTTATGGCTTAGGAGGTAATGTGGTGCTGCCAAGAATGTTCTACTGTCTGTCAAGTTTAATCTCATTCAAGTCCCAAAACAATACTACAAGGTAGGGATTATTGTTTTTCTCAATTTATAAACCAAGGCACTGAGCGTTAAAGAGACTTAGCCAATCCCCCACTGAAGCAAAGTCAAAGAGAAGTAAATTTGAATCCCAGCACGAAGACTTGCTAGCTGTTGATCTGTGGCTGAGAGCCCAATGTCCTCCAGAAAATGGTGCCTACTTCTCAAGGTCATTGCAAGGATTAAATGAGATAATGCATGTAACATGCAAAAAGACCTACTTTGGCAGCTGGCCACTCAATAAATAGGGGTCCTTTTTATTTCAGTCACTGAGGAAACAGAGGTGCAATTTACTGGAATAGAAAACATAAGAAGAATATATTGAGTATGATGAGTACAATTTGGGCATTTGAGTTTAAGGTATCCATAGATGATCAGATGGAGATATATAAAAGCAATTGCCAATATGGATCTGGAACACAGGATAAAGATCCAATCCAGAGACGCTAACTAGTGTAGGCAATAATGAAGCAACTGATGAAAACTTCAGAAGGCCAAGGCACTCTATAAACGTTTGTTAAATGAAGAGACAAATGGATGAAAACATTTAACATAATAAGAGATAAGGGTTGTAATAGGAACTTTCAAAGAAGTCTTACAATGTCCCCCAATTATACTTTTATGAAGCTACTAGAGGCCCAGTGCATGAAATTGTGCACAGGTAGGGTCCCTAGGCCTAGCCTGCAATCAGGGCCATCTTCCACCTGCTTGCCAGTCCCCAGTCCCACCCCACCGCCACCCACCCTGGTTCCCCCATGGTTCCCCATTGACCATCCAGCAATCGGAGCCTGCGGGCTAGGGGGAGGAAACGAGAGGTGGTCAATGCACCTCATAGCAATTGGTCCATTGGTCATTCTGGTTGTGCTGACCTTTTATTATATAGGCTATCTGCCACAGCAAGAAAATTCAACAGTTGTGAAAACCACTGGGTGAAAGAATGTTGGTGAAAAAATATATATTCACATATCTTATCCCATAGACTACTTGATAATTACAAAGGGGGAAAACATAAAGGATAAATCTAGCAGCTACTGGGCATGCAGGAGGCAGCCAATCAATGATCCTCTCCCATCATGAATGTTTTTGTTCTCTCTCTCCCTCTCTTTTCTTCACTGAAATCAATAAAAATATATTTTTTAAAAACATAGCAACTACTGCCTTAACCTAGCAATCAAAGCAAAGATCACCCATGATGAGACATTCTGACAGGATGTGCCTCCAGACACAAAGCACCGAAGAGGACACTGCACCTCTGCAGTGTTAATGCCAGCACTGTTTAAACTAGATCTAATCATGAAAAACAATTGGACACATCCACATTGGGATCTTTCTGCAGAAAAACTGACCACCAGAATTGGACTTTGATTCCTCAAAACTGTTAATTTTATAAAAGATTAAAAAGAAAAAAAAACCTTTAAAAACTATTTTAGTTTAAAGGAGGTTAAGAAGACACAAAATAAAATCTGATGTGTGATTCTTGATTGAAAAAATGAAACAACTAAAAAGTACATTATATTGAGACACTTGGGGAAATTTGAATTATACTATATTTGATAATAGCATTGTATTGATGTTAAATTTGCTGAGTGTGATCGTTGTATTGGGGTGATGCAAGGAAACATTCTTGGTTTTAGGTGATATTTATTTAAGTATTAGAAATAAAGTCTCAAGATGCTGGCAAATAACTCTCAAATGGTTCAACAAAAATATGTGTGTATGTTTGTGTTAGTAGAGAGAGGGAAACAGTAACATAATGTTAACAATTGGTGGATCTAGGTGAAGAGTATATCTGTGTGTTCATGGTACTATTCTTATAAATTCTTTGTAAGATTGAGGTTTTTCGAATAAAAAGTGGAAAGTCACTATTAATATGGTAGGCATCGATAAACACACTGAAATTTACAGAGAGGAAGTGGCTTGCTCAGAGTTATTCTTCATTCCCCTTCCTCACATCCGTGGGAGACAGACCCTCGTGGATAATTGGGTTCCCTGGCAGGTTGGCCTTTGGGAGAGATCAGCTGATGGGAGGCACCAACAGATCAGAGGGCATGAGAATGGAGGTCAGAGTATTTCTTCCCTGCTCTCTCCCAGGTTCAGGGGGCTGTCTCTGGCAGTAACAGTAGCTCTGCTCAATGATAGCTCTTGTTGGGTGGCCTCGAACCTCCTTCTATGATATCATTTCTCATTATTTCTTCCCCTGATTCTTTGATTTCTCAGAACGGTATTATTTCCCACTGTTGATAGAACCTGAGTGCATCAACATCCTCTGCCCCTTATCCTCTTTAAACCTCTCAAAATGTAGTCCTTTCACTGAATATCTTATTTGAACCACATGTGTCCTGTAGGTTTTTTGTTGTTGTTGTTGTTGTTTTTTAATATATTTTATTGATTTTTTACAGAGAGGAAGGGAGAGGGATAGAGAGTTAGAAACATCGATGAGAGAGAAACATCAGTCAACTGCCTCCTGCACACCCCCTACTGGGGATGTGCCCGCAACCAAGGTACATGCCCTTGACTGGAATGGAACCCGGGACTCTTCGGTCCGCAGGCCGACGCTCTATCCACTGAGCCAAACCGGTCAGGGCCTGTAGGTTTTTGATTGATCCAGTCCTACAGCTGGTAAGTGGTAAAAAACAAATTTAAATCCTGGTCTCATTCCCATGCAGTACTTATTTTTTTTCCCTATGGCCATAAGTGCAATAACATGTTGTATCATATGGATGT